CACTTCTTCAGCCTATCCTTGTTTGATCTTGAAATATTATCATTGGAATAAATCCAAAAAAATCCTGAAATTAGTAGCGCTAACAGCCCACTGCATGTGTATTGGTTGAAATCCAGTAGTACATCACAACTACAGTAGACCCATAGAATCAGTGGCAACTTGATGAGTCAATTCCTCTGTAAGTTCCATTGAGTCAATGAGCCTATTCTAGCTGTGATTTTAGCCATTGTTTGTTTCCACCTGAATGAAATAGCAAGTGTTGCATGTAACTGTAACTGTTACTGGATTCTAATGCATCTATTGAATCTCCTGATGCCTCATAAAGATCTATCTGTCTGTCTGTCTGTCTGTCATTATTCTTTACCAATTTTGAATGAATCCAGAATGGCTAGTCTGTCTGTCTGTCTGTCTGTCTATTCTTTACCACTTTTGAATGAATCCGGAATGGCTTAAACAAACACAAAAATCACAAATCAATAGCAAATTAAATACATAGAGTGTTCGAAACACAAAAATCACAAATCAATAGCAAATACTATAGCATCAGCCAGCAGCAAAATTAAATACATACAATCAGTGTTCAGTATGCTCCAAGAGGTTACGGAAATACATACTTTTCATCTTACATCTGAGTGAAAATAATTTTGGGGCAAACTGGATATTTACAGGAAGAGGATTGTGTAATGAGGAAACAACCATCATAAAAGTTCTGCTTCTCCTCTTAGCAACATGAACTAACTGTACTCTGGGTTACCACCAGGAGAGACCCTCCACTGATCACATCATTTGGTTTGGTTGGTATTGGGCAAAATGATCCGAAATGTAATTCAGTTTTGACCCATTTAGGGATTTATCAATTAAAATCTACATGTTGAACTGAACCCAGTTGTTTCCTGCAGTTAGCATAGAACTTTTGTGGTGGTGTAACATGACCCTGCCTTGCTGCTCCTTTCAACAACATTCTGCACTAGCTGTACCTTTTCCAGCATACAGTATTTTGAAGGAAACTTCACGTGAAACTTGGTGTAGTTTTCTAACTGGAAACTTTATTGGAGTACAAAAGACAATTGTGAGGTTGTCCTGATCCAAAAAAAAAAGGCTATAGCAGGTGAATAGCAGGTGCTATTTGTCTCCCTTCTTCCAATCATCCAGAGCTACAATTACAATTTAGAATCCCCCAGGTGCAACCACAGACTTGAATAACACACAGGTATGTCTATCAATATGTTATAGGCAGCTAAGTCAGAATGCTAATATAGCTTTCAAGGTAAGTGAGGTATTTAAGGAGAGGTTTTACCAGTTCCACCATCCCCATAGGTTTCTATGGCCAAACAGAAATTCAAACTTAGACCTCCTAAGTACTACTCTATCATTCTATCTACTGCACCACACTGGGTAGAAAACATTATGCGCCATCAAGTCAATTCCAACTTGTGGCAATTCTTTGCATGGCTTTCTAGATATACTCAGAAGTGGTCTATCATTCCATCTTCCAGGGGCACTCTGGAACTATGCAGCTTGTCCAAGTCTGCACGGGTTGGCTCTTCTCTTAGGAGACACGGTGGAGAATCATACTCATATCCTCTGGCTCCAGAGCCGACATGCCTAACTCACTGATTTATCCAGCCTTGTCTTGTTAATAGGGGCATCTTTTATATTGTCAGATGTTACATTTGTTCATCTACTTATATGTTACAGCTTGTTTACATGATTTTTATATATCTGCCTTCTTTAAAATCATCTTATTTATTTATTTATTTAACTTATATGTCACCCACTCTACCCAAAGGTCTCTGGGCGGCTTACAATAATTAAAGTTCAATTAAAATACAATAAAAGATAAAATGATTAAAATACAATTAAAATAGATACTCTAAAAATTGCCATCAGGACCCACAGTTGATGTTATTTCAATTAAAAGCCTTCTGGAACTGGAAGGTTTTGACCTGGTGCCGAAATATCATCAACATTGGCGCCAGACGAATCTCAATCGAGAGGCCATTCCATAGTCTGGGGGGCAGTGGCTGAAAAGGCCCTTTGTCTACAAGCTGTCCCTCTTACCTCCTTGAGGGACGGCTCTTTCAAAAGGGCCCCCTGGCTAGATCTTAACTGTCAGGTAGGCTCATATGGAAGGAGACGGTCCTTCAGGTATCCAGGGCCCAGGCTGTTTAGGGCTTTGTATGTCAAAACAAGCACTTTGATTTGGACCCAGGCAGCAACTGGTAACCAATGTAATTTAATCAGAATTGGCTTGATGTGTTCCCTAGCAGCCGCACCACTCACCAGCCACGCAGCTCAATTCTGGACCGGTTGCAGTCGCCAAACCATCTTCAAAGGCAGCCCCACCCACGTAGAGTGCATTGCAATAATCTATACGTGATGTTACTAGTGCGTGTGTAACTGTCATGAGACTCTGCTCGTCCAGGTAGGGTTGTAGCTGGTACAATTTCCGCAGCTGAAGGAACGTGCCCCTGGCCACCGAGTCCACCTGGGCTTCCAGAGTTAGACTGGGGTCCAGGGGCACTCCCAGGCTGTGGACCCTGTCGCTTAGGGGGAGTGTAACCCCATTCAGGGCAGGGAAATGGCCCTCCAACCTGTCCGGCGAAGCACCCACTAACA